GGACTATATACTTCCTGGAGCGAGCAGCTCACTGCTCGCCCTGGAGGTTTTCAGATTCATTCTTTGTTGGGAACAGCGACCAGCGCGCTGCGTGTCAGCTTGATTCTCTCGGCTCTGTTGTGCTTACGGGAACCAGGCAGCTCCAGCCCTCATCCCCCTCCAGAGACGAACTTTGTGGCTTGAACTCCTCTGCCGTGCGTGCGAAAGTCAGACGGCTCCAGGCCCCATCCCCCTCCAGAGACGAACTTTTCAGCTTGAACTTCTCGGCTTCTACACGCTTGTGAGCCATTTATCTAAGATAAACTTCTCTCTCTCTCTCTTTCTCTCTCTATAAATATATATATATACTTTGCTGGTTTTTGTGTTTCTCTAGAGAACCCAATCCAACACAGTCCTCATCTCCAAATTCATCTTTACCTTTGCCCCATTCATGATGTCATATGAATGTGCAGAACAGGAGAGAGAGTGGTCTCCATTTGTCAAAAAGAAAGTTGAAAGCAACTTACAAGCCCTGTACCCTGGCCCCTTCCTACCTGTTGGATCTCACCCCAACCACTCATTACAGCCACCCTGTGCTTCTTCTATTTGGTCCCTGACCTTACCAAGATCTTCCCACCTCAGGGCCTTTGCATTTGCTGGGTTCCCTGTCTGGGAAGCTCTTCCTACCTACCTACTCAAGGCCGGCTTCTCAATTTTCTGGCCTCAGCTCAAATGTCCTTTCTGGATTACCCACCTAAAGTCATTCCAGAACCAGATATTGTTTTACATCCTTGTTGTGAGTTAACTTCACCCACATCTGCCTGATTGTAGAGCTGCCCCTCTGAATGAGAGCTCCTTGAGCATGGAGCTCTTTGGTCCGTTCCTGTTGTAACTCTAGGACCTTGCACAGATGGAGGTGGAACAAGGGATGCTCTCAGTATTTCCTGTTCCTAACATTTTGAGACACAGTAAAAGACAGGAGGAGCCTTGGTGGAGAGGAGGTGGAACAAGGGATGCTCTCAGTATCTCCTGTTCCTAACATTTTGAGACACAGTAAAAGACAGGAGGAGCCTTGGTGGAGAAAGGCTACCAGTCTCAAGTATAAGGTGCTGAGGCAGGAGGGGTGGTCCACGAGGATGGTGGGAGTGAGACTAAAGGGCCTCCCCCTCATCTATTCTTCAGAGATATGCCATAAAGGAAGATCTATTAAAAACAAGCAAACAAGAAGCAATTATGGGACTCCTTGGGAGAATAATGTGGAACAAAATTCAAAATGATTTGGAAAAAAAAAAAGAAAAAGGGGACCAGGTTTGCTGCTCTGATAGAGCCTGATGGAACCACTGAGACTACGGCCCCTAGCAGCCCTTCACGTCTGGAATTGAACACACTCCTGGGGCTTCCAGCCAAACAAAAGACAGGCATAAGAGGTGAACATTTACACTAACTAGGCAGGTTACACTCCTTGGAGATCACTCATGGGAGAACAGAAGGACTGTGTATGGACAGAGAGACAGCTCAGGGGGCAGGAGTGCATGGGAGGGAAGGACACAGGGAAGAGGTAACTATGGGGAAGAAGTGAGAGGGGAACTGTTGCATTGTGGTAAATTGTAGTCAATGTCATGAGACAGGGTGTATGTGAACTGCTTGTAGAAGGTGAATTTGCTCTGTAAACTTTAACCCAAATCACAATAAAAAGTAAATTAAAAAAAGAGAAACAATTGTGTGACTATTACTATAACCACTTGGCAATATTGTGGTCACATTGGGGCAGAGCCTGAAACAGTGCAGCCCCCATTGTTAGGTTCTCTTCCACACTTGGCCCCACCAGCCAAAACCACCACTTTTTCCTCCATGACCTGCTTCTTACTTAACCCTTTCTTCTCTTAGACATTTCCTGGTTTCCTTTTGGAGGGTTATCCCAGTGGCGGGGGGTGGGGTGGGGGGGAGATGGGTGGGGACCTGGCTCAGGAGCGTAGCCCTGGAGGAACCGCATCCCATCCTGACTCACAGCGTATTCTGGGACCTGTATTGTGCGGCTCCGGACCGGAGAGAGGCCTGTGAACACTCCAGTGAGGCCAAGGCCTTCCAGGACTATGTGAGTGCTGCGTGGGCGGTATCTGGTGGGCAGGTGCAGGGGTGTGACAGTGTCCTGCCCTCTCTCCCTGGGCCTCCCCATACTCTCTCCTCTTGGTCCACCTCTTCTCTCCTAACTTCACAGAACCTGGGCTCCAGTGGCTGAGCTCTGGCCACCCCTCTTGCCAAGGATGGCCTCCAGCAGCCCCACACAGGGTTGGCTGACGGGGCTAGACACTGGGCTGGAGAGGTAGACTTCCAAGAACTCTGGGGACACTACTCAGACTCGATCTCTCTGGCCTCAGTTTCCCCCAGGGCTGAGCAGGGGTCAGAATTTCCTGGAAGTGGGATAGGAGGGGGATAGCGAGGATGGAGGGTGCTGTGGAAGATAGCAGCCCTGCCCTTGACCCTGCTGGTGGGGCTTCCCCTGCCCCGCCCCGCACACCCCCTGTTGTTCCTCATGAGACCTCTCCTTGGGCATAGATTCACGGCACCTCCTCTAGCTCCAGGAGATCCACTCCACAGCCTCTCAGGTACCTGGTGCCCTCCCAGCTGGGAGCTGCCCCCAGCCCTGCCTGGAAGGGCAGGCTGTATTCATCCACCATGGAGGGAACCCCATGTCCCTGAAGATAGTCCCTCCCCAACTGTGTGTGCTGGGGAGCTGTTTCTAGCATCGATGCTATTCCTCCCCATCGGGTTCTGCTGCCTGTGTGCTCCACCCACCAACGTGGTGGTGTCTGGAAGTCTGGGTGCATGGGTTCCTCCGTGTGGGTCCGGCTCTCCCTCCCCTCGGTCGAGCTCTCCCGGGCTCTGCATCCTCCACTTCTGTCAGGCAGTGGAGCGAGCACGCTTCCTGCTGGTGCGTGCTGGTTGCCATGGCAGCGCTGGGGCGTCGAGGAGAAGGCACAGGCGGAGGATACAGGGTCCCCGTGGGCGCGGGCTTAAGCTGGGCGTGCATCCTGCGGGCCCCACTGCCGGAGGAGGGCTCCCACCGGTCCGTTTTCCGTCCCCCGCAGCTCCTGGGCTCGGGGCTGACCTTGGAGTCTTCCGGAAATGCGAGCGCGCCCAGCCAGTCGTCATGGCAACGCGGGCCCAGGGCCCAGGCGCCTCTCTTAGGATGATTAACATGGGGGGGTCCACCCCATGGAGTAAGAGTGGGGGCGGGCAGAGCCTAAAGTTAGGGTGCGGCGGGGGCTGGTGGGGCCTGTGCACCATCCTTAGGCTCAGAGCTCATCCCGTTGCCAGCCGTGACCAGGAAATTCGCCGGCGCCTCTTAGGGCCTGAAAGGGGACTGACTGCTTGCGCAGTCGCGGGCAGACCCGGGGCTTCAAGGTGCTCCAGCCGCTGAGGCAGGCGTCTCTAGGGCGCAGCTGCCCCAGGCCGAGGTGTGTGTGTGTGTGTGGGGGGAGTAAGGGGGTGGGTGGTTCATTAGAGCCAGGACGAGGTCCAGGGATAGAGAACTGGGTCCACATTCCCCCTTCCCCAGGGTTGCCAGCTGCTCTTATGGGTCTCTGCTGGGCCCTGAGGAATGTTCTCAGTTTCCTGGGCCTGTGGGGGCTGCCCCCTGTCACATCTCCTGCTGAGGTAGTCTCCTAGGTGAGATCATTTAACAGGATAGCCTTGGAGGAGGGGCAGGTGGTGGTCAGGCCGCAGTCCAGGAGAGGGGATGTCTGCAAGGCCTGCTCCCTGCCCACCTGTGATTGTGGACACGGCACAGAAACCCCTCAGCCCTCTCAGTGACCCTGTGTGGCTGGGTGTGCCCAGCAGTGGCACAGACCAGCTCCCTCTGGACCCCTGTCTGGTGGGGGATGACAGCAGAGGGCTCAGGGACCCTTGGGGATGTGCCTCCCAGACTTGTCTACTGGCCTGCCTCTCCTGAGATGCTCCCCTTGCACAACCAGGTGGTTTTGCGTGTAGTTCCTGGAACGAAAAGGAAGCAGTTGGTGGTCAGACCCCATACTGCATCCATCCCTCCTACCCACCCACCAGAGCCTGGGAGCTCTCCTCCAGGCAGTCGTCTTCTCTGTTCTCTTGAGGAGCGGCTGGGTGGGTTCTCTTGTAGCCACCCTACAGGGGTTGATGTTACAGCTGCAACTGATTTCTTTATAACCTAGGTAGTGTGTTTATTTGGGCGTCTGGGGTAGAGCTAAGGAGCCTTGCTAGTGCAGTGGCCAAGTGCTTGACTGCTAACTGAAAGGTCAGTGGTTTGAACTCACCAGTTGCTCTGTGGGACAAAGATGTGGCAGTCTGCTTCTCTAAAGATTACAGCCCTGGAAACTGTGGGCCAGTTCTGTTCTCTGCTATAGGGTCTGAGTCAGAATTGACTGAATGGCAGTGAATTTGGGTATTTGGTAGAGCCAGGGAAACCAGCCAAGGTGCCCTGCGAGCCAGGAAAAGGGAGGGTAGGGGATGGGGACCCACCACCACCCACTGAGGGGCGCATCCTGAACACCAGCCTGGACTTTTCTCTGCATACAGAAGAGAGGGGAGACCCTGAGTGGTGCAAACAGTTACGTACTTAGCTGCTAACCAGAAAGTTAGAGGGTCAAGTCCACCCTGAGGGAAGAAAGGCTTGGTGATCTGCTTCCAAAAAACTAAGCCTGAAAACCTTATGAAACACAGTTCTTCTGCTACACACATGGGTTGTTTTGAGTCCAAAAAAGGTAGAGAGTTGGATTGAAACAATGCTTGCTCAGTAGACCATGGTATCTGGGTGGCTGTGACCCAGCAATCTGCTCAGAGGCCCTGCCCAATCTGGGGTCTCTATTTCTAGACCCCCAGACTCTTTAAGCTTAGACATTTCATGACATTGGCCCCAGACCCCTGGGTTCCTTCTTGGGCTCTTGCTGAAGGCCACCTAGCAGCTGAGACTGGTCCAGAGTTACTAACCCAGGACTTCTCCCTCCTGGGAGGGCCTCCCATCCTCCTCATGCAGTGCACAGATCAGGTGGCCCTGGGTGTGGCCCAAATTTCATCACTTGCCTACCAGCAGTCACCTGTCACTGTCCTGGGAAGTTGACTTCTGTCAGAGAGGATGAAATGTCCCAGAGAACCTGGCCTGAAATGCTTCTCACTATCTCCCCTGTCTTGCAGAGCTCTGCAGCAGCCCCTAGTCCTGTGATGGGGAGCCTGGCCCCCAGTGACACCATGGCACCCGGCTTCTTCCAGGTATGACTTGGGGCCCCCAAATCCCAGACCCTGGGTGGGCCATGGCAGGTGGGAGTTGGACATGAGGATGCCTGAAGTCTGCAGCTTATGGGGTACCAGGGCAGGAGAGCTGGTCATGTTGCAGTCAGGGTGGGGGCCAGAGGGGTCACAGTGGCCCTGGGAGCCTGCTTTACATGGGGCTGTTCTCCAGGAGTGGGGTGGAAGGGGCCGAGTGCCGGATTGCCAACCTCTACCTCCACACTGACCTTGCCCCTTCCTTGGCTGTCCTAGCATGGCTGCAGGACACCAGGGGGCTTTGGGGTGACTGTGTTCCCCCCAACCCAGCTGATTCTGTCATCCTAGGGCCCCCCCAGCTCCCAGCCGCCCCCCCACAATCCCAACACCCCTATGATGGGGTCTCATAGCCAGGTAAGGACCTGTGCCCCTTCCTGCCATTCCCCACGCGCACACACATCCCCTCATGCTCATACACCAGATGCCATGCTGGCCCTGAAGTAGGCGCTGCCAGGTTTGGGATCCCTGTTATCAGGAACAGGGTAGTTTGGAGGGCGGTTGCAGGGAGGTGCTGACTCCCTGACCACTTCTTCCAGCCCTTCATGTCACCGCGGTTCCCAGGGGGCCCCCGGCCCACCCTGCGGATGCCGAGTCAGGTGAGAGAGGGATGGGGGTGGGGGGCTGAGGCTGGGTAGGCGGAGACACCCCGGACTCAGCGCTGCCCCTTCCCTTTTGCAGCCTCCTGTCGGGCTCCCTGGCTCCCAGCCCCTCCTTCCTGGTGCCATGGACCCCTCCCCACGTGCACAGGGTGAGTAGGGATACCTTAGCTGCAGTTCCCACCCATCAGGACCCCAGCTCCAGGATACCCCCCAGGCACAAGGACAGTGATCCCAGCCTGAGCCCCCCTTTTTCTCCTCCCCACCTCAGGGCATCCAAGCATGGGTGGCCCAATGCAGCGGGTAACGCCTCCCCGGGGCATGGCCAGCGTTGGGCCCCAGGTAAGGCTGGCCCAGATGGGGAACAGAGCTTGTGGGGCTGTCTCCCCTATCTGCTGTCCCGAAACTCATGGTCCCTTCACCTTGGCAGAGCTATGGAGGAGGCATTCGGCCCCTGCCCAACTCGCTTGCTGGCTCTGGGTTGCCTGCCCTAAACATGTAAGACCCCCCAAGCCCTGGGAATGTGTGTTCTTGTGTCCACCCATGTAATCCACTGCCCAGCCTCATGATGGTTGTCCTGGTGTGGACTTGAGTGCCAGGCGTTGCATTGTCCCTGTGTCGGGTGGGAAAACAGGCCCAGAGCTGTGGTCAGACACTCATGGCCATGAATGGTGGATCTGAGTGACTGGTCAGCCCACACCTGTCTGGGTGCACATGGAGGATAGGGGTTATTAGCATGGGTGGGGGATCTTACACCCCCAGCCTAGCCTTAGGATGCACCCACCCTCTCTCCTAGGGGCCCAGGAGTGCGAGGTCCGTGGGCCAGCCCCAGTGGCAACTCAGTGAGTCCTAAGCTACGCAGGTGGGGGGGCAGGGTGGGGGCCCCTAGCCTACCATCTGTGCCTACCACTCACAGCTGTCCCCTCTCCTCAGATCCCCTATTCTTCATCCTCCCCTGGCAGCTACACAGTGAGTGGGGAAATCCATCCCTGGGTGGTGGGGTAGCAGGTAAGGGAGCCTTTCTTATTCCCCTTCTGTATCATGTACAGGGACCCCCTGGAGGAGGTGGCCCCCCTGGAACTCCCATCATGGCCAGCCCTGGAGGTATGCCTGAGTGGGGGAACAGGGCTGGAGGGAGGTCCCTGGAGCCCTCACTTCCTGACGTGGTCATCTCCTCCAGACTCCAACTCCAGTGAGAACATGTACACCATCATGAACCCCATCGGGCCCAGTGCTGGCAGGACTAATGTGAGTGGGGGGCACTTCAGAGGGTGGGGTTAGCAGTGATGGGCATGGCCTGACCGCATGCTGCCTCTCTGTCTGTAGTTCCCTCTCAGCTCTGGCCCGGAGGGCACCATGGCGGCCATGAGTGCGATGGAACCGCATCACGTGAACGGATCCCTGGGTGAGTGGGTGGCTGGGGACCCCAGCCCTGGCCTGTGCCCCCTGGTGGCCTCCCTGCCCTTTATGCATTTCCAGCGGGGCTGGTGATGGACAAGGGCTGTGATGGAGGGGAGTGCCTAGACACGCCCATCCCAAGTCTTCTGCTCAGATCCCCTCCCAGGCCTAGAACCCGAGTCCCCCATCCCAGTCCCCCAGTGGTGCTTGTGCCTACCAAGCAGACAGTGAACGGCTGTCTGTCGCGCGGCTGGGGGCGGAACTAGGGGAAGGGCCTGGAGGCCCCCAGATGCGGGCGGACCTGGGACAGGGGCATCTGAGCTGCGTGTCCGTCTGTCCGTCAACAGGCTCGGGCGACATGGACGGGTTGCCGAAGGTGAGGGCTGCGCCCCTACGGTGGGCGGGGCATGGCTTGGGAGGCAGCACTCAACAAGGAGGCCGAGGTGGGGCTGTGGGTGGGAGGTGTGAGGGACTTGGGGAGGGGCTGCGCGGTGGCGTCACTGGGCAGGCTTTGGGGGCAGGGTGCCTGGCTGACCGTGGCTGCCCTCAGAGCTCCCCCGGCGCTGTGGCCGGCCTGAGCAACGCCCCGGGCACCCCGCGGGACGATGGCGAGATAGCGGCCGCCGGGACTTTCCTGCACCCGTTCCCGAGTGAAAGTGTAAGCGACTGCGTCGACTCCCCCCCCGCGGCGGCGTCGGGCCGGAGGGGCCTGGCGGGCAGACCCCGGCGGGGCGGCCGGGGGGCCAGAGCAAGACCGTGACCGCGGCGGGCCAGGTGGGGGGGCGGCCGCGGCATCCCTTCCCTCACCCCCATCCCTCCTACCCCGCCCCTGCCCCCACCCCGGGACCCGCGCCCCAGGGCGGTCTCCTGCATCCCTGCCTCCCCTCCCCTGTGCCTTCCCGGGACCAGACCCACCGCATCCTGCCCCATTTGTCCCCGGGGTGGGGGGTTGGGTCCTAGCCGAGGCCCGAGTTGAGACTGCTGGTGCGCGCCGCCCCCTTTTCTCCGCAGTATTCACCCGGGATGACCATGAGCGTGTGACAGGCGGCCGCCCCCAGCCTCTGCTTAGCGTCCGTGCCTGAGGCCAAGGCTGGGTGCTTGGCTGGCCGAAGTCACATTTCTGGCTCTTGGACCCTGGGCTGAGTGAGGCCTGGCAGGCCCCCCAGCCCACACAAGGACTTAATTTTCTTAAAAAAAAAAAAAAAAAAACGCAAGGACCTCAGAGAGGAGCTCTCCTGTAAGGCCTTTTCCCATCGCCATTTGTATTCTGTGCAATGGAGGCTTCTTGGGGGGCCCCCTATGCCCTGGATGGTGGGGGTGGGGCCCATCAATAAATGTAACTTGGTTTTGTGTTTTGGTAGCCTTGTCTTGCATTTCTTTACTTTTCTTTTCAACCCCCACCGCAAGAGCTAGGGGAGGAAGAGGCACCAGGGTGCTAGGAGACTGCATGTAAGAGTCCCATGTGGAAAGGTTGGGGTGGTATGAAGCTGGAGACATGAGCAGCTCAGGTGCTGAGTGGGTGGTGGCAGAGGGGGTGGAAGGGTCACAAGCACCGAGGACTCACAGGCTGGGTTGTGACAGTGGCATCAGCTTTATTGTCTTGGGTGGGGCCTGGCAGAGTGAGGTTGAGGAGCAATGGGCAGGAATAAGGGGGAGCTAGTGGACCGCAGCCTCAGGTGGTGGTTGGCTGTGGCGCCTCAGCCTGCAGATGCCCTTTGGAATCACCAGTGCAGCCGTTGGGGGCAGTGGGTGCTGCTCCTTTGTTGCATGACACAGGGCAAACCTCAGGTCCAATGCGCTTTAGTGCAGGGTCTGGCCGTTCCATCTTGTGCTCCAGCAGCATGTGGTTCTGTGGTGGCAACCCCAGGCAGGCCCTGGGTACAGCAGTGGGGGTTAGTGGGGCCAGAAACTGGGCTTGCGGTCTCCACAGCCCCCAGTTCTGCACCAGTCCCCCTCCCGTGGTCATTGCGGTGCACACCTGAAGATGTTCTCAATGCAGCTGCGCTGTCGGAAGAGTGCGTTGACCACCGGGCTGCCTGGGGGCACAAGCGGGGCCTTGAATAGGAAGCTGAGCAGCGCCAGAACAGAGTGGAAGCCCTGCGGCTCCGGGTCAGCGTCCGTCTGGAAGCTCACACGCTGACACAGCTCAGTCAGCAGCACCAGGTCCAGCATGATGGGTGCAGCCAGCAGTGAGTCCTGGGGGTGAAGCTGGTGAGTGGGTGGGGCCACAAGTGGGTCACCTCTGCCCCTCCCGCCAGGCTCGCCCCTGCACCTCGCACGTGTTGTGCAACACCAGCGTGTTGGTGCCGCCCAGCATCAGCTCAGATGTGTACTCGTCCAGTGCACGTTTGCTGTCACCCACATACGGCACGTACTTGATCACCACCTGAGGGCCACACAAAGTCATTGCAGTGGTCCACTGAAGCTCAGCCCACTCCCAGCCTCCCAGTCCCTAGGGCCCCACGCACACAGTGATCTGGCTCCTCCCCAGGTGCATAGAGCACTGGGTTGCTGAGCACCATGTCATCCACCACGTTACTCTTGGACACCTCCTTGGAGCGGAACTGGGATGGCGCCGACAGGTTCTGCCCGTCATTGTTGCCCAGGTGGTTGTAGCTCACGATGGACATGGTCTGTGGCAACAATGGAGCGCTTTGGCCTCCAGGTCCCATGTAGCCTTTTCATTGCCCTCTGAGCCCTCTATTTCCACCTCCACTGCTACTCCACAAACCTTAAGTCCTGAGCCAATGAGGAAGTCCACGAGGACTGACTTAACCTTAGTCTGGCCAGTCTTGAAGTCATCCCCGCCCACGAAGACATGGTGCTGCCATGCCAGTTCCAGTGCCCCTGGCACTAGTGTGTTCTGCGGGGATCCATTGAGGAAAGCACAGCCCTCCAGAATGCTGGCCACAGCAAAAAGCGTGGATGGGGACACCTCCCCACCCACCTGTGGGTGGGGACACAGTGGTGGTCAGCATGGGATGCTGCAAGTTCTGACCCTGCCCCTCCCCTACTCCAGTGTGCTCCCACCTCAATGGTTCGAAGCAGGTTCTCTGCCGTGTCATTGCAACCTGGGACCACGTCGCAGAAACGCTCAGTGTTTGCTGTCCACAGCACAATGACCTTGTCCAGCCCATTGCTGGACCAAAAGTCTCGGATGTCCTTGCGGATCTGCTCCAGCTGAGTCGAAGGTGGGGGGAAGGTGGGAAAAGGGTGTACAGTCACCTAGCCCCTCGGCTCCCCAAGAGCAAAGGGGGCTCTATACCTACACCCCGAAAACACGCTTAGTACGGGAGCATTGGTCAGGAGAGAAAAACAGGAATCAAAAGGTGAGGGAGGGGAGGGTAATAGGGAGGGAGAACAAAAAGCCAGGATAATTTAAAAAGAAAACGGCTAAAGACAGAAAACTGCAATCAGGTGGGTCGGGAGGAGCAGCACCTGCTGCGCACGCGTGCCCGGGATGAGGTTGTCTGCGCGCGCACCCTGGTTGGCTGCGATGAACTCCGGGATGTAGACTGAGGGGCGAGGGCGCATGGCCTCCATGTGTGGCCACAGCTGCTCCTGCAACCCCCAGTCCAGCACTTGCGCGCGCCGCATCGCCTGGGCCAGGTTCAGCGACGAGATGTCCCAGCCTGGGGACGACCCTCAGGTTCGTCCAGGTTCCCTCGGCCCTTGGGGACCCCGCCCGCCGTGTTGCCCTCCTCCGGTCCAGGCCCCACGCACCGTCAAACACCAGGTCATCGGGCGCCACCATGGGTAGCAGCGCGCGGAAGGGCACGTGCACCTCCTGGCCCTCGGCGTCCAGGCCCAGGCTCACGGTGCCCGCTTGCGTCAGCGAGCCATAGTAGTTGGCCTCCTGGGGACCGCAGGCAGGGCGCGGGGTGGGCGCAGGGTGTGGCCGAGCCAGCCTGGGCCCCGCCCCGAGCCCGCCCCCAGCCCCGCCTCGCAGCCCGGCGCCGTCAGGTCGGCGGAGGCCCAGCGCAGCAGAGACCACGCCCCTCGCGGAGGCCCCTTCCTCTGCGGAGACGCCCCCTCCCCCTCGGTGGAATCTGCTTTCCCCGCAGAGGCCGCGCCCCCGGACAGACCCCCATGGAAACACCTCTTGTCCTCCTTCACATCCCCTGTAAAACCTACTTCCACCACGGGGACTCCCCCTCCCTCCAGTGGAATCCTTTCCCCCCTTCGGGAGACATCCCTTCCTCCCTCCCCAATGGAATCTGCTCATCGTGGGGAAAGGCCCCCCCTACAGCAGAGTCCGTGGAATCATCTCCCCGCGGGGCCCCCCCACCTTGAGGCCAGTGCGCGTGGGCCAGGACAGGCGCAACCGGTTGGCCAGAACGGCGGCGGTCAGCGTGGAGCCGTTGTTGCCGCCCCAGCCGACTAGCATGACCCCGAGGCGGGGCACCTGCCGGGCCGTCCGGAAAGTGAAGCGCGTGGACGTGGGGTGCACCTAGGGGGACGGCGTCGTGAGCTTGGGGCGCGCCCAACAGGCCTGCCCCCTCCTCCGGGCGGTGAAACCGTTGGGCGCCCCTCCCCGGGCCGCCCACCTTGAGAACGCCACCCTCGCGGCTAACGCGCGTCGTCCGGTACTCGTACTGCGCCTCGATGGCCTCGGGGCTGTAGACCACGTCGGGGCTCTCAACTACAAACTCGGCACCAGCGGCGGCATCCATTACAGCGGGCTGGGGGCAGGGGGGGCGGTCAGCCGGAGACGCGAGCCAGAGGACTAGGTCCTCGGGCGGGCGCGGCGGCGAGAACCCCGCAGGGCGCACTCACCGGCTACGAGCGGCGCGGGCAGCGGGCAGCGCGGGGCCGCGGGGCGCGCAGGCTCCGGGGAAAAGCGCCTCGGCTCCGCCCCCGCCCCGCCCCGCCCCGCCCTCCGAGGGGAGGGGGCGCCGCCGCTGCCTGGGTTCGAGGTTCCAGGCGCGTGTGTGGCCTCACTGGGGCGCGCTGCAGGCACCCCCACTGTACTGGAGGGTTCCGCGATGCTGCGCCTGGCCCCAGCCATAGTGGAGGGGGTGGTGCAGCCACGCCAGGGAAGTCAGGCCTGTGGAGGGTGCTCTTGGTCATAGATCACAAATGGGAAACTGAGGCAGTGGGCGGGGTGAAAGAGCAGAGGGCCAAACCAAGACTGGGACCCCAAAATCAGGCACTGTCCTGCCTCCGACTGCCCCCGTCTGAAAATCACGCGCAGCAGAGCCCACCGCAGGCTCTCTCCCCTGTCCCCCGCATGGCTCCTCATGGACTCGTCAAATGAAAATACTTGGATGGGGAATACGGGGGCAAAGAGGACAAGTGACCGCAATGGAGGGGGTGGGGTGCTCCACTTGCGAGAGCGCGCAGGCCCAACATTGCGGGAGCCTCGGGATTGGAGAGATGGTTTTCCCTTACAGACATTAAGATGGGGCCACAGAATGGTAGAGACGCGGTTCTCTAAAGGCAGACTGGGGGGTGGGCTGAGAAGGGGAGTGGGCTGAGAAAGGGGAGTGGGCTGAGACGGTGGCGTGATCGCTGCGGCTCAGTCGGCTTTTCGCTGAGGTCAGCCGATCCTCCTCGGAGGGGCCCTGAAGGAGGGGCCATTCGCCGCCTTGGGTGCAGAGTAGACAAAGTTCAGGGGCTGGGGAAGGAGAACTGCGGGGCCCGAGTTGGGCTGAGCAGCACTTTGTTTCTGCCAGATTCCGGGGACCAGCCCTTGGTTACTCATTGCTGAGGCTGAGGATGGGGATTTGAAGGGCCTGGGTCTGGCCTGGTCTTGGGTAAACAAGGGGGCATCTGGGAGGCTTATCTCGGTCACGTGGGGCGTCTGGTTCTTTGCTGTAAGCCGGTTTCCAGGACACAAAGGGTTGGGAGGTTTCTCAGGGATCAGGTAAAATTCAACGTTGTTACCCTCGGGGTGGCACAGTCACCTGTGATGACTCTGGACGATGGGGCCAGGGTTGCTGCTGCGGCCTCGGCTCCCCACCTGCGGCGGCATTGGCCTGAGGGAGGCTAGGCTGGGCTGGGGGCCATGGGGAGGGGGCAGGCATAGGAGGCTGGCGGGCAGCGCTGCGGGGAGGAGGGAGGCCGGCCTAGTGGCGATAAGGGAGCGTGGGAACCCAGCGGGAAGCCGCGGGGCGGTCGGCTCCCCCAGGAACTTTCCAAAACAAGAGGCCTCCTCCGGCCGGAAAGTTTCCACGGCTGGAGCTGACCCAAAAGGTGGATAGTTGGGAACGTCTGCAGGAAACTTGGTTGGGGCCTGGCTCTGGGGGAGGGGGTGCAAAGGCCTTGGGCCTAGGCCTGTAGAGACTCCAGTCTGGGTAAGAAGGCAAGTGGTCTTGGCCACCCCAAGCCACAGGAATTAGAGCCAGGGGCACCCCGGGGAGGGCTAGGAATGCTTCCCAGTAGAGGTGGTTGCTGGAAGGGGTTTTGAGGTACGAAGAAGAGTTTAAAAGAAGCCTGGGAAAATGAGAGCTCGGGATGGGGGGTGGGGTGAGGGGAACCTGAAGTCACATGTGAAGTTACAGGATTGTGTACAAAAAGAAAGGCCTAGGGGACCCCAGCATCCATAGGAGATGGGGGGACCTGGGCCCCGATGGCCTTCTTGGAGGGGAGTCAAGGAAATTAGGTGAGGGGGATGGCAGGGGAAAGGCTATGTTTATTGCTACTAGTCACTTGACACCGTAAAGTGATCCCTGGGCCAGCTGTAGGCCTGGAGGGGAGAAGGCCCAGCATTGGAAGGGTCAGGGGTGGGGGGTAGGACCACAGGGTCCATGAGACCCAGATAGGGAATGGGCAGTGTGTGGTGGAGTTCTGTTGGCCCCATGCCATTTGGGGAGCACTGCGCTCATTGTCCCGCTGAGGGTACGTGGGCCATTTGGCTCAGACCCAGTAAGACCCTGTTGGGGCATAAGGAGGCTGGACTCTCAGGCAAGGCAGTCAAAGGCTGGCTATGGCTGAAGTGGGGGTGTAGCTGCCAGGATGGACAGCGCAGGGTCGGAGGAGGTGCTGGACAGGAGCTGTGAGGCCTAGGGCATGGGACAGAGATGATATTATCTGTACTTCAGTACACGTTGCCCACAGGCTGCTGACCATGACTCCCAAGCCTCAGACTCTAGGCCGCCTCAGAACTTGAGCCAAGGCCATGGCTGGCAGGTTGCCTATAGACCCTAGGAACCTGCAGTGGCCATGGGTGCTGAGGCCTTCGCTTATGGCTATCTCCTTTGTCTGTTTTTCCTGCCTAAAGTCAAGTCCATCCCCCTGGTCCTGACCTTGGGCTCATCTGGAACAGGAGCAAGGAAAGCCGTCCCCACTGGCACCCTGACTTTGCCAGCCCTCTGGGCCTCAGTGTTCCCACGGGGATGCCTCCGGCCCCAGCGAGGTTAGGAGGAGTGAGGAATCAGTCAGAGCCCTGGGCTATTTCCACCAGGGAATGTGCACGAACAAGTCCTGGCCCTCTCCTGCTCACATCCCCATCACCTCCACCCTTCTCCACCTGGACTGACTGGGGAAACGCTGGCAGGCCCCCCACTGCCACAGCTGCCCTCCAGCAGCGCCGCTGGAGCCAGCCTCCAAGAGCCACACACACCACAGGCTGGGTGGCAGGGCCACGGTTCAGTTCAGTGACATTTATTGTAGGATGAAAAAAATTCAGCATTCACCTGTTTAGTGTACAAAAAGGACACTAGCTCTTTTAAGAAAATATTAGGAAAACTGAAGACACAGGTGCCTCTCCATTGTAACATTTTGGCAAAAGTGAAAAGTTCTTGTAAACACCAACTCCATGGCTCAAAGTGGCTTTTCTCCACAGTACAAAGTCGAGGGATAGAACAGTATCAATAAGTTAGACCCTATTTAATCAGCTGAGACTGTCATCCGCCAACCCCCAAAGCACAAAACTTCTCTGAGCTTCATCATTCCTTAAAAGGAGGAAAAAATAACAACAACAAAAGGTAAATTTAATTGAGAATCCTAGGAGCTGGTTCCCAGGAATGACGGGTGAATAGGGCCCCTCTGATCACCCAGGCCTGTGTGGCCTGCACCCTGCCACCCCTAAAATCATAAAACACGAAGCATTTCCATGGGGAGCGAGGGTGCCACAGGAAGGGGCTTTAGGGAGGGGGCGGCACCCCGCTGGCACTTTCCAGGCCACCAGTTCTTTGGAGGCCAGTTGGTCCAGCCTCCACAGGCACGGGCCAGGCCTGGCCACATTCCAGCACCTCAGGCCCCACCCCCACCACATGGTCACAGGCCCACAAGGGACAATGGCCAGGATCCCACGACGTGGCTCCGTGGGGTCCCATGGCTCCGCAGGTTGGGGGCACACTAGGCACAGCAACAAAGCAGCAAGTGTGGGGTCCACAAAGCTGTGCCCCCAGCCCCTCCCTGAGTACGGACCCCAGGGACTCGGAGGAAGGGGTCTTAGCCCCTGGAGGACAAACCAGCAGCAGCAGCAAAGGGGAGCACTGAGAAGTCACAGCCACCACCTGGTGCAGCACCCCGCAGGGCTGGCCGGCTGGCAGCTGGGCACCCAGAATAGCAGGCCAGCGTGGGGACACGGAGCTGGCACCTCCTGGGACAACTGGGCCCCACAGCTGTTCCATGCCAGGTGGACCTCTGGAAATAGAGCTGCCCCACTGGCTTGGAGAGATCCCTGGGCAGGTGGGAGAGGTGATGTTTGCTGGCCAGAGGTCTCCCCCAACTTGGGGACCTGACGGGGCGTCCCTGTATACAGTGGTCCTGGGCCAGACTCCTCAGAAACGACCCCCCCCCCCGACACACAGTCCTCAGAGCCCTCAGAATAGTGCTTACTCTGGTGGGTGGCGGTAATACTGCAGGAGGGGTCCACAGGCAGCGGGAGGCACAGGTGTAGAAAAAGGGCTTTGTCTCTTCGTACAAAAATAGACGAGTCTCCTCGCAGTAGCTAAAAGTGGCTGTCCATATAAAACTAGAAAAGGCGCCCAGCTTGTCTCCAGCCACAGCAGGCAGGGTGGCCCAGCCCAAGGCCCGCATCTTTGGGACCCCCAGTGTCCGCGCGGCTTCAGACAAGCACATGTCCTTGTATTTATTAGTTAAATAAATTCTCTTTCCCGCCTTTCGTCCCCCAGACCCCACCGTCCACAAGGGTCCACCTGGCGGGGAGGTGGGGGTGTGGGGCTGGCCACAAGGCCACTGGTCCCTGGGCGGCACCTGCCGCCCGGCACCCCAGGCTAGTGCCAGGCAGGTAGCTGCCGCTGGTCGTACTCGGCAATAAGCCGCTTGATGTGGGCCAGCTTGCTGTGCAGGTACTCGCAGCGCTGCTTCTCCTGGCTGTAGTTGGTGTTGGTCTGTGGGGGGGGGATGCTTGGTGACCAGAGCCAACCCTACCCTGATGGGGCAGCCAGGGGCATCTCCTGGGGTGGGCGAGGGGGCAGGCCTGGAGGGTGAGTGACCCCACCAGGTCTGAAGATGAGGCCCTCAACCCAAAGGCTCCCTCCACTGTGGACATGGCCTAGAAGCAGTGGCGACAGGCAGGACAACTGGGGTGCCCAGGAGGCCCACCCTGCTCCTCCTCTCTCCTCCAGGCCCATCTTCTCCCCAGAGAGCCATACCTTTTTGATTTTTCTGTACTCCTGCAAGATCTGCCCACGTGTAGTCTGGAGGGAGAGAGACAATGTCACCCGCCCAGAGGACCCTGTCAGGCCTGCCTCCTGTGCCCAGCAGAGGTGGGGGCCAGGGATCCTGGCACAGGGCCGAGGTGGGGAAGGGGCCAGGGTGGGAGGCTGCCATGGGAGCCTGTGCAGGGCCTCAGGTGAGGGCGAGGGGGGCTGTGGGGGTAAGGGGAGGCAGTGGAGGATCAGGGGTACGACCTCATACTCTGCGGAGCCCTGGGAGAGCTGCCTGAGCTGGGAGTCGAGCTGCGTGAAGCGCCGAGTGATACGCTCAATGCGGGCGTGCAGGTCACGGTACTCGCTGTACTCGGCATTAAAATCGTTCTTATAGCTCTGCCGCTGCTCTGAGGAGGAGATGGCTGCATACTTCCTGGAGGGAGGGAAGGGGAGCTGGGTCCAAAGGAGCCGCACCTCACCCCAAGGGTGCCTGGCAGGGGGATTTTCAGGGTGGGACAGGGGCCTGGCTAGGAGCCAGCATAGGGCTCGGAACACACAAAACACGCCCTTCCTGTCAGTTTGCCTCCATCACTGGCCAATCCTGAGGCCCCTGTGGCTGCAGAAAAGCCTCTCAACAAAGGACAGCTGAGCGCCCGTGACAGCACATGGGAAGGGACAGCCCCATACTCACAGTAAGTAGTCGGGTGTGTCTGAGGTTGAGGTGGGGATGCTGGCACTGGGACAGGAGCCATTCAACCCTGCGGACAACACAGGTACTGTTACAAGGCCCCATGGAGCATTCAGACACCACAGACCCCCGCAGTGAAAAGTCGGTTTCAGGAGAAGACCCACAAAGGTTCCCGGGGAAATGGGGCAGGAGGCCAGATGGGTGGAACACAGTCTGAGACAGCTGCAGGTAGACAGATACCGGGACAGGCTGTGCGCCTAGCTGAGGGAACCTGGGGCCTGAGAGCAGCTGGCACCAGCACGAGTCCACTGGGGTATCTGGTCTCTGGGCACGCAGGACCCACACAGTGCCCACTAAGGAGGAGGTTCAAGCATCTAACGGCACCCCTCCAGTTGTCTGTGATGCACCCAATGCTGCCCAGGCCCACCAAAGGCCGCGCTGACCCTGGCACAGGGCTTGGGCCTCCAGGAAGTGATGAACCACAGGCACTGTCACTTTCTTTAACCCTCTGTGATCTCCAGGTATGTACAGCAAACAAGGGAAACTGAGGCATTGACTCTGGAGTAATGCTGCTCTGGGTCACATCACCCGAGTTCCTGGCAGCAGATGGCTCAGCCCTAAGTGAGCTGTCCCAGGGCTCCTTGAGGCTCCCCAAACCACCTCACCACAGAGGCTGGCTCGCCCCGAGTCCTCTGCCCCCACCCTGTGGACAAGGGGCTCCGAGACAGCAGGGATGCATCTGCCCTGTTTGGCCCCAGCCCATCCTCCTCTCGGGCCCTCACCCATCACCCTCCCCTCATTGCCCTGCTGTTTCCCAATTCCTTCTCCTTGGCCCCCACCTCCCAAGCCTATTCTGTGCAGATGAGTGAGGTGCCCAGGCAGTATCCCTCCCCCAGGCTCTGCCCACCCCCAAACCTGGGACCTTCTACAGCAGGGCCTGATCGCCCTTGGCCACCACCAGCCTCTCAGCCCCACTGCCAGCTCCCTTGAGCTTGACCTCCCTTGACCCATCCTCAGCCTAGAGCCTTCCTCTCCCAGTTTTTGTCCTCCCACGAATCCCTACAAGAACCCTCTAACTCCAGCAGAAGATCCCCACCACTGGTGTCTGGCTTGTGGTCCAGGGGTTGAGGGATGGCTAGGTCTATACCCCATGTCCCCCGACACCTACCAGAGGCTTCTGGCAGGGCTCCAAGACTGCTGCCTGAGCTCTCCACAGGCTCCTGGTTGGGCTGTGAACTTCGATGCCGGTCCCTGGGCAGCCGCTCCTTGTCGCGGTGCTTCTTGGACTTTTTCTTGGCCTTGCTGTGGGGCCGGCTGGGCCGTGTGCAGTCTGGGGATGGGGGCGGGCACAGGCGCTCGGTGGGGCCTGAGCCACCCATGTCAGAGGGCTCAGTGTCCCGGCCACTGTGGCTCAAGTCATTGCTGACATCGGCCAGAGGGTCGTGGGGCCGTGGGGGCTCGGGTAATGGAGGAAGGGGGGTGGCACGGCCATGGGGTGCACTCAGTTTCCCATTGACAGCAGGCTGGGTGCGCTGGGCAAAGTGTGAAATCCGGGGCTTTTTGCTGGAGAGCGGGTCAATGAATTCAGGGGGCTGCGGTCGCTTCTGTGGAGAAACGAGGTGGATTGTGGGGGTGGTCTGTATGAGAACAAGGTGCAGGGTGGGAGCAAGCCCGGCCACCCAGGCCCCATGGAAGCCAATGCAGGCTGCAGAGCTCAATCCAGCCACAGGGTGGCGCCCAAACACTGGACTCTTACAGACTAATCCACAGGAGAACAGTTCAGCCCACAAGCATGCCCCTGTCCCCATGGGGCCTGGTCTGCACTATGCTTCTGTGCTCAGCACCTTACTGGGGGATACACAGCACCAGGGACCATCTGCCCTCCCCCAGCCCAGGTACACTTTGTGGCCAGTGGTCCAACACCAGGACCAGCTTAGGGTCCCTAGGGGCCTCAGGAACTGGTGATCAATTTCCCCAGCCTGGCCCTGGACACAGGGCCCCTTCAGGCAAGCTGTGCCTGACGGTGTGGATGGCAGATGAACAAGGCACCTAAGCCCAAGGGGTGAGGCTGACACTCTTTCCTGGTATCTGCCCTAAGTTCTGGGAGGTGGCTCCTGTGTGCTGGGAAGTTCATCCTTGTCAACACACTGGGTTCAGAAAGAGATATGGAAGCAAGGGACGGAAGCTGGGGGCAGTGTGGAGGCTCTCAGCCTGCCCCCTCTGGCTCCCATGTGAGAGCCTCTAAGGAACAGCCATGAATGCCCCTTCCATGTCCACAGCCCAGCTTGGCCCCTACCTGTGGCTGCAAGGAGGCATTCCCGTGCTCTCCTGGAGGGCTGGCAGCAGGGTCCCCAGGAAGGGCACCGGCACCCTGTGGCTGGCACAGCTTCCTGAGAGAGAAGCAGAGATGGTTGGGAGGCCTGCAGCAGTGCAGGGGGATATCCCCAGGGCCAGCCTGCCCCGGCAGCAAGCACCAGAGTGTGTGTAGGGGGCTCATCCTGTGGGCAGTGAGCCTCAACCCGCAGATGGCATCACCATGGAGATGCCTCACTGGGCAAGACCTGAGGCACTGGCCCCCAGCTCCACAGAACAGCCCTGATACTAACACTTGCTGATGAAGAGCCAGGGAACACTAATGGGAGGCACAGCCCCTCACCCCACTGTCCCTTGGGGTCCAGGTTTCAGAGGCAGATGCTGGGGGCCAAGCCAAAATACACAGGGCTTAGAGGCCCTCAATGCCCCCTGAACAGTGTATCCTATCAGCTCAGCCCCAGGAAAGCCCATGGTGGCCACCATCACACGGGATACTGAGGATACTTCTGCCACCAATATCAAAGCTCTGAAGACAGACAAACAGACCACCTTTTAATGGGGAGAGAGACTGCAAAGGGGATAAAACACCACCCTCAGTGTTCTTAGAAAGACAAAGGACTTGAATAGGCATTTCTCCAAAAAAGACAAACGATCAACAAGCACACAAAATGATGTGGGTGTCTGCCAATCATTTAAAAAAAAAGCTAGACCAGCAAACCTAGATGGTGACTGGCTATTACTACCACGTTCTGATCAAGAACGTAATAGACAATCCTGATAGAAAAGGAGAAAAATACGGAACAGAACTTCATATTCCTAAAGAATCCAGACTTTACTAGATCTAGAGGAGGCCCTGAGACTCTGGCCCTGAGTTGCTCTTCAAACCCTGAAATGAAATTATCCCCTGAAGTCACCTTTAAACAAAGTTAACAGTTTAGCCCAAAGAGTAAAGGTTGTCATCCTTAAGTATTGCGCTAATCCGTCTCCATAGACCAAAAGGGGCGGGGCAGGGGGCAGGGAGACGAAAGAAATGGAACTGAAACAACTAGAACAGAAACAATGAGAATGTCGACACAGTGTGAAGAATGTGACCAAAGTCACTGATCATTATGTCTAGACACTGTAGAATGAGAGTGGGTTTTGTTCTGTTCTGTTTTTTCCACAAATACAGAAAAAAACAACCAAAAAATTGAACCAGCTGCCATCGAGTTGACTCCACTCATAGCTACCCATGTGTGTCAGGGTAAAACTCTTCCACAGGGTTTTCAATGGCTGATATCTTGGAAGTAGATCACCAGGCCTTTCTTCCAAGACATTCATTCATAGGTAGACTCGAACCTCTAACCTTCTGGTTAACAGCTGAGCACATTAACAATTTGCACCAGCCAGGAACTCTGCATTAATCATCTGGGAAATGCAAATTAAACCCACAATAAGAAAACACTTCACCTCCACTAGGACTACAATCAGAAAAACAAAATAACAAGTGTTGGCAGAGAGTGGAGAAACTGGAGGCTTCCCGCGTTGCTGCTGGGAAAGTAACATAGTATAGCCACTGTGGAACACAGTCTGACATTCTTCAAACCATTAAAGAGAGTTACCATGTGATCCAGCAATTCTACTCCTAGGAGCTTCATTTCTCTTAGAGAAATAAAAATACACACCCAAAGACACCTGTCCATAAATGTTCACTGCAGCGCTATTCACAGTAGAGAAGAAGTGGCAACAACCCAAGTGTCCATCAATGGATGATGCCATAAAGAGGAAACACAATACACACTGTAACGTGGATGAAAACATACTGAGTAAGAGAAGCCAGACATGAAAAGCCACATAGTGTATGAGCCCACTGACATGAAATGTCCAGAATAGATAACTAACCCCCCAGTTGGGCAGAAAGCAGATTAGTAGTTGCCTGGGGCTGGGAGAGGGACATGGGTAGTGACTGCTAAAGGGCATGGGGTCTCCTTTTGGGGTGATGGGAATGTTCTGCAACTAGACAGAGGTGGTGGCTGCAAAACATTGTGAGTAGGCGTCATACCCCTGAACCACTCACTTTAAATGGGTGAACTGTATGCTATGTGAATTACATTTCAATGTAAAAACAAAAAAACAAACTCACTCACTGTCATTGAGTCAATTTTGATTCACAGTGACCCCTGTTCGGCTTCCGAGGCAGCAAATCTTCCCAGAAGTAGATTGCACTATTTCCTTAATTGGAGCAGCTGGTAGGTCTGAACTACCAACCTTCTAGTTAGCAATCATGCCTTAGGTACTGACTGCACCACCAAAACGCCTCATCTCTATATAAAGCTGGTATGTTTTTTTTTTTTTTTTTTACAATGTTTTAGAAAGAGATTAACAGTGGCACTGAATTGATGCTTGTGAAGCAGTGTAATTCTCCACAACAAAATAATTAAAAAAAAAAAAAAAAGAGCAAATTAAAAGTGGCAACACTCTGAGATGAGAATCTGGCACAGGAGGTCCTGGAAATAAGAATTGACAGCAAGAGAGGCGGGAAGAAATATCCCCAAGTAGAGCCGAGAGAAAAGAATGGGACAGGAAAGGACAGTCCAGGCCATGGGGCCTCCAGAGGCAGAACCCAAAGACAGAACAAGGTGGCACAAGGGCAAGACACTCCAGCCACTTCCAGGTAACAGCCTAGGACAATGGATGCTTGGCCATTCAGAGTGCTCATTCTCATGCACATAAGCCTGGGAGCACGTGCAAGTGCAACCCGAGCTGCACTTCAGGGACCAGAAGCCACACCTCCCCAACAAGGAGGGCTCAGGTTCTAGATGTAATCAAGTGCTACCTTAGCACAACGGGCCACCAGCCATGAAGATATGAAGACTTTGTACTTTTGAGGTCCCCTAGGGCCCCCACTGCCCTCAAGCTCCCCTGGAGCCCCAACTCAGCTGTGTTCTAGGTGCAGATGCACATCAACGGGTGACCTTGGGAAACCTTGAAACCGCTCTCTATCCTGAGAAATCACTTAAGGACTAATGAGGTGTCTGCCTCTCACAGTGGCCCCTCCAACCCAGGTTGGCTCAGGAGGAAGTTGCTAATTGCCTGGGCCGGCTTCTTACTTCTCCCCAGAGCTGCAGGTACCCTAGTCAGGTTCTGGAGGCCCCGGGGCACTTTCCATCAGCGTGGCGCAGCTGTGCCCTAGGGAGAACCATTTTGCCTTGTGTCCCTCACCCTTGTGTTCTTGAGATTCTGTGACAGAGTAGGCAAGTTTCAGCACCAACCCCTAAAGCACCCAGGTTTGGGCACCTTTCTAGGACCTGAGTTTTGGGATGTGGAGCATGGAGGGTGACAGCTCATGGGTGGGGGAAGGAGGCCTGAGAGCTTCAAGTCTCAGCAGGGTCTGTGCGTGCCCCCTCCCACAGCCTCTGCTCACACTGGACATAAGTCTGAGCTAGGGTGAGGGGGGACCCTGGAAGGCCACCCTCATATCCTGGGAGAGATCCTCAGGGGTTGGGATGTCACCCAGGATTGTCGTTGGGGTGCCTTCAGGGCAGGAGGGGACTCTCAGGGTCAGTGATAAGGAGGTTCTCAGAGTTGGGGTCCTCAAGGTCAGGAGTTGGGTGCTTCTTGAGAGTTGGTACCTGACGAGAAGGCGCTGGAGCAGCTGTCGGTCGCCCTCTGAGTAGCCAGGCCAGTCCCGCTGTACATCCTTGTACATGCTGTCCTTGAGCGTGCACGTGCCATCCTTGGTGCTCACATTGGCCACCTGCAGACAGGCCAGGATGTCACCTGCACAACCCAGGGGCAGGCACCACAGAGTGGGGTGCAGAAACAGAGACAGGGGAGAGGATGCAACTGCCCTGAGGGCTCCCCAGCACATGCTGCTCCATGCACCCTGGGTGCCAGGTACACACACGCACACGCATGGCAGAGGCAGGTGGGAACCCAGGTTGGCTCCCCAGGGGGCCTCTATCTCCATCTGAGATTCTGTCATCTCTCTCCCCCCCAATCCTGGTCCTGAGACAGAACTTCCAATGGCTACATCCAGGCCAGGGCTGCCCTGCCATCTCCACGCTGACAAGGGCTGCATTCACTGAGAACAGGACCCTGCGCAGATGCCAAGGCCATGTGCAGAGGAGGACATGAGCATCTGCGCTGAGAGGTCTGCAGTGAGCCAGGGGTCTAATAGGGTGGCCCCAAGGCTCCACGGGCCTGCTGTGCACCTGCAGTGGCATTTCCCACATCACTGCATCCTGAGGATAGGTCACCTCCCCGCACCCCAAGCACATTTTCACATTAGCATGACCAGCCTGCAGGCTCAGCTGCTCTTGCCCTAGGGCACCACAAGGCCAGCTCTGGCGTGGTCGGAAAGGAAGGCTGGTCTCCACCTTACCAGGCTGATGAAGACATACATGGGTGCATATGTGTCTCCTCTCTGGGGCACAAAGGAAAGCAAACTGGAGAGGACAGCAAGAGGCCAAGTGCAACCCCCACATCTGTCTGTGCTGGGACAGCCCTTCGGGCCCTTCAGCCACTCTGGCCACCAGCCCTGCCTCAGTCTCCTCATAATGCACAGGTGGCTCTGGGAGCCGGTGGAGCTCCAAAGACAGGGCCAGCAATACTCCCACAGGACACCTCCACAACATCTTGATAGGCCTGCAATCTAGACGCTCTGTGTGCCCTCAAAGAATACTCTGAGCCTCAGAGCCACAAGGGTATCTTGATGCAAGCTTTGACCTCCACAGGAGATGGCTGCTTGGGGCGAGAAGCTGGGACCTTGCCACTTGTTCTGTTTGCAAGACAGCAGGCTCAGCTGGAACCCGCACACAGGCAGAGGCAGTACAGTCACAGGTCCGTAGGCACCACCTTCCACACCCAAGGCCCCGACAGAAGGGGATGTCATCCTAGGCCAGGACCACTTAACAGGGGCCCAGTACCTAAGAAGCATCAGTGTACCAGGTCCTAACAGTGTCTGTGTAATGGTGTCCACGTAATGGTGGGTAATTACATCCATTAACAGTGTGCAACAGCATCTGTGTAATAGCATGTAACTCTGTGTGTATGTGTGTATACTGGCATATGAGTGAATCCACATAATGGTATCTGTGTAACAGGTTAGACCAGCATCCATGTGCCAGCATGGGCTTTCTGCTTCAGGTGTCACTGTGCACCTGGCATCTGGGAAGCGGAAAGCAGCAAACAGGAACCCCCTCATCCCCAGCCCCTGGTAAACACTGTTCGCTCTGTGTCCATGAAGTCCCCTGCTTTGCAGAGATTATCACACTTGCTATAAAAGGAAACCTGAGGGTCCAAGACGCAGAACCCCTGCCCCAGCCCACACAGAGGCATCTGCGCGTGTGGATTCAGGTGCCTTGTTCCACAGGCATCACACACTAAAAGCCCTCCACCTTCGTGCTGAGTGGCCACCATAGTTTGTGGCTATGATGCAGGCATCATGCCCCAGCAGACAGGCACATGGAGGCTGCCTCCTCTGTCTCTTCACCCTGCACCATGACACCTCAGCCCTCCACCCTGCACCATGACACCTACTGGAAGAGGCCATTCCACACATCCCCAGCCCCGGGCCCCCACACCTGCTGGAGGAGGCCGTCTAGTGAGTCCTTGTCTGGCTGTGTCAGCCCATCCCTCTGCAACCGCAGCAGCAACTCGGCCTTTCTATAGGGTCTCAGCGCCAGGAGGTGTAGCACCCGGTCACGGAAGGGCCGCTGGGAGACCCCTCCACTGCTGCCCCCACCACTGCCCTTCTTGAGAGCACTGGCTGGGTTGATGGGGGTGGCCCGCTTCCGGGAGGGCACGGCATCCGTTGGCCCCGGGGCTGGCTTCCGGAAATGAACCTTTTTGCCTGAAACGAGAGCCAGGGCTGGATCAGGGGAGGGGAGCAGGGGCGGTACCCAGGGCCAAGCCTGACAGCACCCCCACGTGGTGTCACATTGAGGAGGAGCACTAAATGAAAAGCCTGAGGTGAGGGCGCCACCTGCTGATGGAACAGAGGACACTTGGCACACAGGCACTACTACACCCATGTGAGACGCAAGTCGTGTGTGATGTGATGTGATTTGTGTGTGTGTGAATGTGTGCTTTGTGAATGTGTGACAAGACTGCACTCAGAGACAAGAAAGACAGCTTTGCCATGGTGGCCCAAGTTCCAGCCCTCAAATGGCCAGCCCATGTGGGGAGTAGGGGAGTGGTAAGAGCCCTTCTGATATTCAAAGGGGTCCTTGATCTGCAGGAGGCTGCTGACCAGGCTGCTCACCCTACCCTCCCTCTTGAGTCTCACGTGATTTCAAAGTGACCACAGAGCTGCTCTGAGGGCCCAGGGGTGCGAGCAGCCCTCTCCACCAGCCCAGACAAGGCTCCAGCAGACATGGGTGCTTGGAGCTATGCAGAGCAGGCAGCTCGGTGCCCTTGACATGGGTGTGAACAGAGTCAGACACCTGCTTAGGATGCAGAGCACCGGAAATCCCCTAGTTATCTTAAAAAGAAACACTCAAAAGCTGTCTTCTTGGACAAAGCTGTCCCACATCCTTCAAGACATCCTTTCTTTCCAGCCAGAGCTAGGCTCCTCGACAACACTCTGGCCACCACATTCCTCCCTCTCAGAAGTCTGGCTTCCACTCCTACCCGTCCCTCCTCACCCAGGTATCGGCCACCAGGCTTGATGACGATGGCACTGCGGCTCCGCGTCTCCTCCTCAGCCTGCGCCAGGCTCTGTCGCGCCTTCTGGTAGGAGTCGTCAGTGGCGCACACTGTGATCTTGTCCTGGATGCTGCCCAGGCAGTCCAGGTGGACATCCCCATGGCTGCAAAACACATCAGAAACTGGAGATGGGCCACCCAGGGATGTGGGGGGACAAGCCTAGCAGGACACAGCCTCCCCCAAAGCAGCAGGGAACCTGAGGGGCTGGGCCAGGGCTCAGTGCCACCTCCTCAACAAGCTCTGACAGGACCCATGGAGGGTCCATCCTGGAGGGGATGAGGGCAGGGCAGGGTGGATCGGCTGGCTCACCTGGACAGGTACTGCTGCACACAGTCGAAGCTGCCCTGTGGGCTGTCACGGCCAATGTTAGAGAGGTAAAAGGAGAAGGTTCGGGCCTCAGAGGGGCAGTCAGGCTGAGGGACACAGATGTGCTGTAGGCAGGGGAGTAGGGGGAGTTGTCATTTGGGGAAGGCTTGTGACTTGCCTGTCCCCCTCTTCACAAGGAGTGTTCAATTTCTCCCTTCAGAACACACTTCTTATCACAGGGTGACCTCTGACACCGTGATCCTGGCTGGGCTTCGTGCACAAGCTCATTCCAGTCAGCCAGACACTGGTGGGGGGCATGCAGCCAGAGTCCAGCCATGCCTCAGCACTGACGGCTGTGGGTGAACCCAACCTTTCTGAACTTGACCATGAGCTAGAAGCCAAGGCTGGGTCCGTCCACACCAGCATCTTGGCCCTCCCCACTAAGCAGGTATCCCTGTCTGTCTGCTGACATATACATAGTCCCACCTAGCCACCTGCCTCAGCCAGCTCAGTCTGATCCAAACACACACTGTCCCTCTGAAAGGGGAGAATGATGGCCTGGTCACACTCAGTGACAGAAACCCCAACAACTCATCCCCAAAAGCCTTCGAGGACCCACCTTGGGGCCACAGCCAACACACACGTACCTAGACTCATTCATACATATGCACACTACCCCTATACCCTCGTATACTCACCACAGACCCCACCCCACATGGCAGGCGCAGAGGAGTCCCTCTCTAGCAGACACATGGGCTGCCCTGTCCTGCCTGTTGTGGCCCTGTAGGTGTAACTGTCCTCGATGCTCGGAAGTAACTGGAAATTCACCACCCAGATGCTGGAGCTCTGCTTTCCAATCAGCTTCGGGAGAGCCGGGACACGAGTCTGTGACAGCTTTGTGCTTCCAGCCTGACTCTACACGGAATTCCCCAGGACACAGAGTACGTGGATACCCAGAGATCCTGCAGGAGCCTGAGGGAGCTGACGCCCACAGGGGCAGTTTTCTGCACTTTCTTTGACCCTTTCTTTGCCTCTGCACATGGGACTCAAGTGCACCTGTAATACTGTATCCTTCCATCAGTTTAGGGGAGCAGACGTACCATGAGGGCATGGGGAGGACAGAAGGGAGGGCCCTGTGACTCTTTTATACTGTGTGGATCTCTTCCATCAGGCCTGTGTCCAGCATGTCTGTGGGCGTCTGACTCAAGTCCCTCCCTAGGTTATGGGGGGGGCACTATAAACTGGAACATGTCTCTTTCACAGACACACACACAGGCCTGAGCAGTAAGCAGGCTCACTGTGGCCGTTATCTCATGCTGGTTCCAGATACCTGGCCAAGTCGCCAGCAACCTAGAAGGGCCAAGGTGCTGTGCTTAAGCGCCACCCGCCAGGCCATGCCCCCACAAGGGGCTTTGCCCTACTCCAGCTATCCAACTCTGGGGAGCTCCTCTGGCCCTCGCCACTGAAATCAGCCCCAAACAGCCCCCTGCCCTCCCTTGGGGCTTACAGTGGAAGTGGGCGAGACAAAGTAAGTCTTGGGGAACAGAAGGAGTGGGGGACAGAAGTGTGGAGGGACTACAGGCTAAGCTGAAAACATTAGAGGGAACTGGCCATAGTGCCTGTGAGCTTGGGCCAGGGCAGGTTTCGGTAGTGTTTATTTCCTTCATTATTTTTATTTTTCAATGGTCTTCCAGAAAAATAAAACACAGCCTTTCCAAGGGAGGACTGTTAGCACACAGGTAGTGTAATTTCTAGAAGCAAACCATCGCCCTCCTCTCCTTGCACTCAAATGCAGACTGGGCCAGCTCCTCCAGCCCCAAGATCTTGGTTACCAGCCCCCCAGACACACAGTAGACCAGGCCCAGCTATCTCAAGCCCCACCCCAGAAACTGTCAGGCTGCCTCCAATGTCCCTGCTATAAACTGCGTAGCCATCACAGAATGTCCCACCTCTCTAGGCTCAAACACTGAGAAGCACCCAGCCAGCAGGGAGGCTGTAGTACAGACGTGCACAAGGTGAAGGAGAACTAAGGCTGGCACCCGCTCTGTGCTACCGCCTCTGGGACTGAAGATGCTGCAGAGGGCCCACTACCCTGCCTGGCCTGACCTCGGCTCAGCGTTCCCCACCAGCTCAGACCCTGCCACTCTGGCTCCTCGCTCCTGTTCACTGATGGTGTCCAGTACCCCCAGTCCATCCCTGACTTCTCCACCTGCTGCAGTGCATGCCAGCTGTGGGCCATGCAGGGTAGTCCCACCATATCCCAGCCTGGGTGGGCCCTGCCTGGCACCAACTCCTCAACAGCCGGACCCCACTGAGCCCCACAGCAGGAACAGCTGCAGTAGGCAGGCAGGGCTGCCTTTACCCCCACGAAGCCAGTAGGGTCCCATGGCTAAGAGACCGGCATCTCCTAGCACTCCTCCCCGGTCACCAGCCTCTAGCCAGAGCATAGGTCAAGCATGGCCTCAGTTGGTTACCATTCCCCTCACAGTGTCTGTGGTGCTCCCAAACAAGAGTGCTCCCACTTCCCCACCCCATTCACCATGCTCAGGCCTCACCTCCCAGAACCACTGATCCAAAAGGCATAGCAGGGACCCATCTTTGTGGTCCCAGAGGTCTACAGCTTACCCCTGCCCCTGCAGAACTCAGACCGCTCCAGACAGCCCTGCAGCCCAGCCTGGCAGTCACAATCTGTCCCCAAGCCTCCCCTGGCTCAGGGTACCCCAAAAGCATCAGACAGCCCTCTTAGCTCTCTGTAGTCTTGGGCCCCAGGACGGTGTTGATAATGGACGTCCCACCCAAAATGCCCATGATAGAGTGTGTGACCCTGGCCTGTGGCCCACGTGCCCAAGTGTGATCAAGAACTCACCCCTTGGCTGCCCTGGAAGCGGATCGACGGTCTCAGTGAGACAGAGTCCTAGGAGAGAGAAGAGGGACGTCAATGTGGACACGGAGAAAGCAGGCTTAGGATACGAGTGTGTGCCTCCAGGTCATGCAGATGGGGCCCTGTGGCCCAACAGCTCCTGGGGAGCTATGGTGGGGGGCAAGCAGGGAGCCACAGCTGGACTAGAGCAGGGCTACCTCATACCCTACCAGGTGCCTAAGGGCAGAGCCATGGCAACATGGCCTTGTAGGCCAGGCCTTGCTTGCCCTCCTAAACTGCAGGGGGCAGAGCTGGGGTGGACTGGGGTCCAGGCTGAGAAAGGGGTATTGCCCTCACCCCGGCCTGCAGGAGCTCATAGGGCCAGACCAAGCATCCGATGCCCACCCACCCTATGTCAGTGCATCAGAGTAGTCTGTTCCTGCACTGGGGACACTCGGGACTGCCAAATGTCAGCAGAAAACACACTAAAAAGCTAAAATGATTGCTTTCAGAGACTGGGCTTCTGGCTTGATTGAGCACACACGGATGCAGATAGAGGAACTGCCTCTCCTAGAGCAGCTAACCCAGCCTTGGGCGGGACCCAGCTTACCACCACCACCCCCTCAGCCCATATACCCTCGCTGCTCCCACCAATCCTCACCACCCCACCCACCACCTTCTCTCACTAAGACACCTCTACTCACCCACCAGGTCCCCTTCCTGCCCCCACCAGTTTCTCCCATGTGGCACAGGACCTCCCCATCTCTGCACATGGTGCCTCTCCTCTGGCCTCAGCCCCCTGTACCACTCTTGTTTGCGCTGTTTGTCACCTGAAGAGGATACCAATGCCAGGGCTGCTACCAGGCTTGGGGTGTCCTCAGTCCCCACAAGGGGAACAGCCTGGCGGATGGAGGCATACTGCAGCATGGGCAAGACAAGGGTGGGATGACCCCCACCCTGATACCAGCCCAAATTCCACTCGGGGCTCCTCCTCTCAGATGGCAGGAGACACAAGGACAGGGCAGGGGCCTCGTGCCCAATGGGTGATGCAAGTGACAGGAGTGCAGCCAGATGCAGGGACAAACAGGCCCAGCACACAGAGGGTAGGCAGGTGGGCAGAAGGCTCCTGAAAGGCCTCGTCCCACAAGCTGTGGGGGGACGTGGGATGCAGAGACACATGAGGGGATGCAGGGGGAAGCCACAACACCCACTATGAAGAGCCCTCTTCTGCCAAGAATCTCGAAAGCCTGTGGGATCTGGTAGAAATGGCGGCTGTGCCCCAAGGGCACACATGCACTGAGCACACTCCCTATTCCCCATCAGAGCTGTCACTGGGCCGAGCAGAGCAGCGTCCAGGTCCAGTGTCCATGTGAGGACCTGTGCTGCAAACCCTGCACATCACTCACCATTCGGTCCCTGCCCGGAGCCCCTGGAGCCAAGCTCAAGCTAGCTTCCCTCACCTTGAAGGATCCCTCAACCACAGCACAAGTGAGGTTCAGAACAACACACGTGACCATGGGAGGGCTTGGACAGGGGGTTGTGGACACGCATCTATGCAGCCCTGGCCTGACATGGTTAAAAGACAGACATTGAAAATGAGGTGCCCGACAGCCCAGGAGAAGAAAGATATGCTCACATCGTCAGTCCTTCAGGAATCGCAGGCTGAACCACCACACCCACAAGCGCAGCTGAGAGGAGACCAACACCACCAAGTCGGCGTAGCTGTGGCGGGGATGGGAGAGGGGCTGCTGAGACAGAGAGCAAGGCGTTGCCCAACCCGGCCACTCCATCCGGGGTGTGTGCCTGGGAGAAGTGAGGGCACAGGAGAGGGCACTGAAGGCGCACGTGCACAGCACCTACCACTCATGGACAGAGACCAACATAGGGACAAGGCTCGGCAGTAGGGAGGCACAAACATGGCCACCACAGTGCGGACAGCTTCAGCCCCTCACTCATAGGGAGAAGCCCAGAACACATGACCACATATGCCTGATGCCCTTCGTGCAGTTTCTGGGAAAAGCAAAACCAAAGAGGAAGCAGGTATGTGTGTGCCTGGAGCAAGGGCAGGGAATGGCTTGAGGAAGTATGCTGAGGTAACAAAAGACACCTCCTAAGCCTGTCAAAGGCATACATAAAACAGATGTGTTCCTGGCATGCAAACTGTGACCCAGAGCACCAGCTGCTATCCTTGGCCTCTGCAGGGTCTTTCTGTGATACCTGGGCTTCAGAGCATGACTTCAAGTCCAGGAAGGGGAGTCTCACTATAAACTTTGTATGTCAAGAATTTTACTGTGGTGAAATTCATGTAACAAAACATTTGGCATTTCAGCCCTATTTAAGTGTATGAATCCATGACGTCAATTACATTTACCACGTTGTGCAACCATCACCATTATCTTTTTCCAAAATTTTCCATCAACCTTAAGAGAACTCAGTGCCCCCCCCCCCGAAATGACTCCCTTGGTCCCTCTTCCTGCCCTTGGTAAACCCACTAATGACCTCTGGTTTCTAGGCACTTACTTATTCTAGATAGATATCTCATACAAGTAGGATCATACAATACAGTACACGTCCACAATGCCACAATACATTCGTGAAATAGGACGTTATGTGATTTGGATGTTGTGCGAACACTGTATTCGTATTATCTGTATATAATACAGTGCTCTCACAACATCCAAATCATATAAAGTCCGAGGTCACATGACTTATGTGGAGCCATGGGCCTGACCCAGGTGGCTGCTGCTCTCTGTTGCTACACTCTGGCTACGTTCTCTGTGATCAAGTCCTTCTCTGTGGGCACAGTGCTCCCAGCTGGAAAGAAGGGGCAGAGGAGTGTTTGCTTCTGACTCAGTGGTGCTGGTGCCCCTCTCCCCTTCAGCTATTGCAGTGGTGGGAGCTGGTACCTCAGCTCAGAGTAGGCTCTGCAGCCCTATGAGCTGAAGGGGCTTCCACTATGAGACTCCCACCTCTGCTCAAACGATGAGGAGAGGGGTCCCAGGTGTCATACCTTTAGGAGGCCTCAGGGATGATGGAGGCCCTAGAGGATGATCAGAAGTGTGCTCCTGTCCCACCCGATCAGTCTCTCATCACCAGGGACACTTCCTGGAGCCCACCACCACAACCACAGCGCCCTGCTTCACCTCCATGATCATCAACATGGCACCTCCCCAAGCCCTGAGGTGCTCTTCCAGTCACAGCCAGAACAGGAGCTATTGGACCTCAATCCCCAAGATGCCCAGAAGTCAAGATTGGGAGAAACACTTCCCTGCCCAATTCTGAGGTGGAGCCCAAGAAAGTGCCCCAGCCAGATGTTCCTGAGGTAGGGGTGCGCCAGGATGCAGGGGTGCTGAAAAGCCTGCTGAGTGAGGGTCCTTCCTCAGAGACCTAAGGGTGGGGGCAGTTTTGAACTAGAGGCCAGTTTGAAGTGGCCCACACGCCAGCAACCAGGGAGGGGCTGGCCCCTGCACGCAGAAGGGTGTCTGGCATATGATGGTCCTGCCACAAGGAGCCATGGGACCCGAGGGGCAGCCCCAAGCAGGCCAAACTGGGCAACAGCCTTGGCCTGGGCAACCAGCTGGGCAGCTTGCAGAGCAGGAAGCCTCACATCAAGTACAACTTGCTGCTGCATCCACAGGGGTGAAAAGCCCCATGAGTATGGCCAGTACTACAAACCTTCAGCCACAGCTCTCATTTCATGCAGCGCCTACACATCCACAACAGCAAGAAGCCCTCCAACTGCAGTGAGGGCAGCCAGGCTTCAGCCAGAGCTCCAACCTGGTGCAGCACCAGCGGCTGCACATGGGCGAGAAGTCAGACACCTACGGCCAGTGTAGCAAGACCGTCATCTGGAGCTCCGTCATCTGGAGCTCCGTGCTTATCGAGTGCTAGCATATCAACACAGACTGGAAGCCCTACAGTGCCACACGTGTGACCACTCCCATTCCTTCCAGCACCTGTAGATTCACACTGGCAAGAAACCAGCTCTTTGCCTGCACTGCCCGCAGCAAGGCCTTTGGCCAGAGCTCACACACAGCTCATCCAGCACAAGGGGAGCCACTACCAGGAAAAGGCGGGGCAGTGGGCAGGGCTGACACTGGCCTACATTAACATTCCAGAGAGAAGGGTTCCTGCTCACTAGCCCTCCCTTGCTGCCACTCAGCTCTGCACACCTGTGTCCCCAATAAATCCTTTCTGGTTGCCGGGGAAAATAAACAAACTTTATGGGACCACTGATGTATACGCAGGCAGATGTTGCCCGGGACATTACACAGCAGTGCATATAAGCAGTACTAGTCTTTTTGTGTCTGGCATCTTTCGCTCAGTGTTTTGTTGAGATTTGTCTGAGTTATAGCAGGTATTAGGACTTTGGTATGCGGTAGTGTGGCTGAGTAGCATGCCATGTATAGATGGATCACGCTGTGTTCCTCTATCACTCGTCTGTGGACACTGGGCCATCCCCCTCAGATGTGTGTACCATCTCTATGCAGCTCCATTTCAGCACACGAGCTGCCATGGGGGCATCACTCACCATTTTGAACACAGAGCAACAGAAGGTGAGGTGAGCAAGGGGACTGCACACATGTGGACAGCACAGAAATAGGAGATGTTCATCCTCGCAGGCCTAGATGTGGTATGGGGACCAAGGCAGAGGGAGGGTGGTATCCCAGGCAGAGGGAAATCACGGGAAAAGTGAAGGGGGAGGGGAGTTTCTTCCATCTCCCACCCTGGGCCAGCCCACAGTACAGTCAGCCCCATACGACTCCAGCCCCTCAAATGTCATCAGAAGAGGTGTGTGCGATGACGGGACAAGGTTGAGGCTCAGGGACAGTTCCCTAGGGGGCCCTGCAGACACGGGGTCTCTCAGGCACCAGGGGGCCAGCACAGGGCAGCCTGTGGAGCCCAGGAGGGGTTCCAGAAGGGCCTCAGCAGCACTACATGCCTACTCCACAAGGCCCCTGGCCCCCAAGCCTGCGCACACCTTTACACTCCTCTGGCGTAGCCCAAGACCCTGGCACCTTAAAGAGCACTGGACAGACAGCTGGGTGTCCTGA